GACTCATTGTCGTACCGTACAAATACACAGCGTCTACTTCTACCCAAGATGTACAAACCACAGCCAGAAAAGCTGTGAACTTTACTATGAGAAATGTGACATTCCTGTCTGCTATAACTGTCTCTCCTCTGGTATGCATAGGCATTCCTTAAAAGATATTTTGCAAAGACCAAATGTGTCAGAGCATGTCAGTACTATAGACACTGTGTATGCAGTATCACATGTCTCAGTGATGAAGAAATGTGGACATTAGGAGATGACAGTAATATGAAACTCTACAACCTCCAGGGCAAACACTGAAATCAATTCAAACAATGTCAGGAAACTGGTCAGGTGACAATGAAGTGACGATGAATGGAGAACTAGTTTATACTGACGTGGGTGCAAGATCTGTCAATAGTGAAGAATGAAAGAACACATGAATTGGAGATACATAAACAAAATGGAAATGGAATTGAAACCTTACAATGTCTGTAGTACCTCCTCTGGTGACGACCTCCTGATTACCATAACAGTCACAATAAAAAAATACTCTGACTCCACAGCAAAACAAACCACCCAGTTTGACAGTAATGGTAAACCTCTGTAATCGTCTGATTCAACGAAATACATTATCGAGAACAGGAACCTTGATATCTGTGTGGCCGACTTCGTAACTTGTGCTGTAGTGGTGGTAAATCAAGCAGGAAGACCCCAATTTAGATTCACTTGTCATCCTTTAATTTTTAGAAAAATCATTCTACCCAATTGGAAACAAAACAGATAGCAAAATCAGATCCTGACATCAGACCATGAAGAAAGCGTATCCAAATCCTCGACCACAAAGGACAATTCCTTCGTTATATTGACAACTGTGATCGACAGAATAGGTTTGGGTGTAGAAATTCATGAGAACCTACTTGTAATTAAGATGTAAAATTGTAAAGTGAAGAAAATTGAATATACTAGTATGTAAATGGCCCTGTGTAGTTTATTAGAATGTCAATATAACCAGTATTCAGCGTAGCAAGAATACATTTATGACTGATTCAACACTGTTATTCTATGAGATACATGTATATTTGTGTGTGAAATATATATTTAATAATTACATTAACAATTGTTTAAAAGAATATAGAGAATATTTTCTCTTACTAATATTTCAAATTGTCTAGTTATTTATCTTTTTGAAAAAGTTTTTTTTCCTACCTTTTTTGAAACTTGCAAATGCCTTCGTAATTGAATGACAAATTGATATCAATAAAAATTTACAAGTATAGAATGTGACTCCCTGACAACTGTTTGTATGCTGACAATCTATTTCCTGGTCTTGGTTCTAGATCTTGATCTATTGCTAGGTCATGTGATTTAAATTACTCACGGTAGAAATGAGGTCTCTGGAACACATAGGCATTGGAATGTTTAAATGCTAATTAAATTGGATTCTAGATATCCACGCATTATGAAATAAGTTTTTTTTATATTTAACTCATCATATTAGCAGGAAATAACACCCCACCCCCATCCCTGCATTGCATATCAGGATGTTTTATTGCCACAACTCATGTGGTATAAACATAATAAATGAAAAAGTTCAGTAAAAAATAACTTGGATGTACAAAACGAAAGTTTCTACACAATAATCAAAAAGAGACGTTATAAAAAATACCGTGAACTACGAGGGTTGTTCCAGAAAAACGTGATTTTTCAATATTTCTTTTTTTTTTATGAAGACCACAAAAGCAAAATTAAGCAAACATCATGATCAAAATTTATTTAAACAAAGCCTGCAAATTTCAATGAAATGTCAATAAAAAAAAAATCAATAAAAAATCATTTTCCTCATTGTTGAACACATTTCACAAAATATTTGAGACCACTGATTCAATTTTCTTTATTTTTACACACCATTTTATTCTATGACACATTTTAATCATTCTGTTGATTTTTTTTGTAAAAATTGAACTATACATTTTCGCTTAAGAAAACTTTCGGATATTTACCTGTGAATGTTTAATTCCGAAGCTATGTATGTTCTAATTTTTACTTATATTTAACTCATTTCCCAGTATCAATATTACTTACAGTTTTAAAGTGACAAAATATTATCTTTATTAAAGGTATTGCACAAATTTGCAATGATCCATTGATGATTTTAAGATAAAGCTCAGTCTCAAGTCGAATGTCTGATTTCAAAATCTTCTTACAGGGGTCTGAGAGGTCATATTTCAGACAATATGGGCAAAAAAGGTGTGGTTGGATTTCTTTCATATCATACAAATGTGAGATTTTGTATCAATGAACAAAATAAAAAGTTCAGAAAAATTGAATATGAGGAAAAATTGGCCTATCTATTCTGTTCTACCTTTATAGTAATTTGTTCCAATCAGGACCCTTTGTGTATGGTGGGGTCGCAATGAGGACAGCGAAACCATCATTGGTCATATTTATATGGAATAATCATCAGGTGTAGACTTACGCTTGTTCAAATCTTGACCCCTTGAGAAAGAGTGGGTCACAATAAGTAATCAATATTTCACAAAGTAATATATAGGGAAAAATCTTCGAAATCTTCCCAAGAACAGAAAGTGCACTATTAGTCATATTGATAATTATATCGAGGTAACTTCAAAATCTCGTATCCTCTTAATGCACTATGAGATTTTTAGTAAACATTAACATGGAAGAAAAGTAAGGTAGTGTATATTCAAGTTTCTTCAATAGTTATGGTCAAAATTTGCATACTAGGAATATGTAATACAAATAGAAAAGATCTGCGAATTGAGAACAGCGATGCATTATTGCCTCAAATGAGCTTCATGGCCCATGGGCTTCGTGTGAATATTGATATGAAGTTAACGTGTGAATATTGATATGAAGTTTAAGGACACTAACATGTTAACACAGATACAGTCACTATGTGTTTCAGAGATTGTTGACTCGGGTGGCAGAATCAGCCGTGGGGGCCCACACCTTGTTACAGTGTGGAGTCATGCAGAGACTGGCTGGATGTGTCTTCTTTGACCTTTAACCTGATTTTGACAGGTGGGTGTGTCATCTGTAGGATCTAATGAATGTCTATAGAAATCAAGTATGTCCAAATACAAATGAACATGTATAAAATTACCAATATCAGTTTCGAAATTGAAACATTTAATTGAACCCTGAATTTATATTACGTGTACGAGTATGTCTATAACATACCGAACACAAACGTTTAATATCAACCGCCCCGTTGTAAACAAAAAAGTCGTCTGGTCAATTCTCAGAGCTAAATTAAAGAAAGAAAGAGGCATGTAGGTCAGATGAGTTTTTTTTTTTACACAAAAATGAAACTATTTATCAAATAATTAATCTGTATAAGACCCATTTAAGGTAGGACCAAAAAGATATGTCAAATTTTCCCTCAAATTCAATTTTTCTGAAACTTTGATATTTTGTTCTTGGATACAGACCCCTCTTTATATATGATATGAAAGAAATTCAACCGCACATTTTTTGCCCACATAGTCTGAAATATGGCCTTTCAGACCCCTGTAATCAGACAAATTCGACTTGAGAATGAGCCTTATTTTACAATTTTCTATTGATCTATTGAAAATTCGTGTAATTCTTTGAATTAAGATAGCCTTTTTGTTACTTTAAAACAGTAAGTCACATTGATACTGGAAAATTTTGGTAAAATATTAAGTAAAAAAGAACACACATTGTGTCAGAAACTGAAAATTCACATGTAAATATCCGACAGTTTAAGTTTTTTATAGAGAAAATGTATAATTCAATTTTTACAAAAAATTAATAGAATGATTCAAATGGATCCTAGAATAAAATGTGTAAAAATAAAGAAAATTGAACCTGTGGTTTCAGATATGTTGGTGATTTAAAAAACAATCAATGGCAAAAAACTAAAAGATTCAGTAGAACTTAATTTGAAGACCGATACTAAAAAATCATTAACTTAGTATTTAATTTGAGTTTTTTGTTAGAATAATTATTATAAATTATGAGAAAATGTTTTAGCTATATAAGGTAGGATTTATTGAACTCATATTGGTGAATATTGGCACTCGTTGGCTGTACAAATTCCCTTGCAAACTCGTGTGCCAATATTCACCAATTTAAGTTCACTAACCCTATAAAAGGTTTAACAAAACAAGACTTAGCCCTCCTAAAAATAGTAAATTATATAGTGGGAAAGTATTGCTTATATCAATCTGTTTGTCCAATAATTTTTACAGGATTTGTGATTGTCCTATAAATTTCAAATTTGGAATACATGTTATTTGAAGGGCAAAGTTGATGATATCAATATCTCCCCTACTTTGAGTATTTAGCAGACAAACTAAGTGCAAAGTTACAATAAGTAAGAATGCCTCAACCAAAATTGTGAAATTCCTAAGCCCTTGGACAGGGCACTTAGGTAAGAAGAGGGCCCAATATTTGGAGATTTTTTTCTTTTCTCTAAGAGGCCATTCTTCTCTGTAAAGGTAAACTTGAAAACATTTCAGTCATGGTTTGCGAGGGTAGAGGTACAGGTTAAATACGTATTTCTAAACATATCTTGTTGCAGACACTTCATTCCTGAGTAGCAGTACTGTCCAGGCCCCCAGTCTAGGGGTGGTGGTGTACCAACTCCGTCAGTGTGCCAACCACTTCATGTCTGTGTATGAGAGTCACAAACAACGCCTCCGTAAACTACAGAGGCTGACCTTAGTACAGACACAAACAACACCTCTATAAACTACAGAGTTTGGCTGATCATAGTACAGACGACCTCAAATAGGTAAAGACACAAACAACACCTCCGTAAACTACAGAGTCTGGCTGATCTTAGTAAAGACGACCTTAAACAGGTAAAGACACAAATAACACCTCCGTAAACTACAGAGTCTGGCTGATCTTAGTAAAGACGACCTCAAACAGGTAAAGACACAAATAACAACTCCGTAAACTACATAGTCTGGTTGACCTTGGTACAGACGACCTCAAACAGGTAAAGACACGAATAACATCTCCGTAAACTACAAAGTCTGGCTGACCTTAGTACAGACGACCTCAGACAGGTAAAGATACAAACAACATCTCCATAAACTACAGAGTCTGGCTGATCTTAGTAAAGACGACCTTAAACAGGTAAAGACACAAATAACAACTCCGTAAACTACATATTCTGTCTGACCTTAGTACAGACGACCTTAAACAGGTAAAGACACAAATAAAACCTCCGTTAACTACAGAGTCTTTCTGACCTTAGTACAGACGACCTCAAACAGGTAAAGACACAAACAACATCTCCATAAACTACAGAGTCTGACTGATCAAAGTAAAGACGACCTCAACAGATAAAGACACAAACAACATCTCCATAAACTACAAAGTCTGGCTGACCTTAGTACAGACGACCTCAAACAGGTAAAGACACAAACGACATCTCCGTAAACTACAGAGTCAGACGACCTCAATCAGGTGATAGATTGATTGTATCTTGTTTAATGTCCCTCTCGAGAATTTTCCACTCATATGGCGATACCACCACTTGTCGATGGAGAGCTGCAAATTTTGTCATATTCTCGTTTCAACACTTTCTGTGACATGGGACCTCGGTTTATACGATATCCTCCGAAAGACCAGTCACGACTATTGATTAGACGCTCTAACCACAACTCAAACAGGTAAAGAAAAAATTATAAATTGAAAAAAGGTATGGATTTGGCGAAGGTTGTGATACTTTTTTGCATGTATGATGTATCTAATATGTTAAATGTTTAGTTTTCTGGAGTAGAAGAGAATCTTACATCTCATCAGAGACAGAAACTTGCTAAAACTCACCTCACCAAAATCGTGCACTACAAAGAGGAACAACTGCAGTGCTTTGCTTGTATCCTTTATGAATGAAGCAAAATATTAGGATTTTGGCAAAGTTAAAGGTTTTCTTGAAGTTGAAGCAAGTTTTATTTTTTTTTAAAAAAAGAGGCAAGTTCTGTACATTTTTATACGTGGGGTAGATAGAAGCATTGAAAAGCAAGAATAAAATAAATTATAGCAATCTTCTTTGACTGTGCTGCAGACATCTTGGAGAACTGTCTGTTTATGTTGTGGCGCCACCTGGAGTATTATTTTATTCACTGCGTTCCTGTCAATCAGCAGACATCTACGTACCCGAGTCAGACTCGCAGACACACTCAACTCAGGAGGCTTCAAGGTTAGACAGGCTGTTTGTTTCTCATGTTTTTATGTTGTAATTTTTTGTCTTAGTGAAATGATGATTGTATGGCAAAAACATTAGTCAATAGTTTCTCAGGCAAGTCCGCATCAGTTCAAAAACGGCCGCATTGATAATATTTTATTGCCATATTGAAAAGGGAAATAACTCAAATTTCCATTTTTCCAAATTGAAAAAGAAAATTGACTTATTCCTCTTTTTATAATTGCTGAGATAGAGTTTTTTTATTAGAAAAACAATTGAATATACTCCTTCTAAATTTACTATATTTTATGAATTAACTTTTTAAATAAATGTTTAGAATTACATTATTTAAAGTTGGATACATATTATGACTAATTTCAGAGACCAAAAATTAAGAATTAGCGGATATTACTATTTTATTGCACAAATGGCTTTAAAAAGGTGTAAATTTGCTTTTAAAAAAAAAGGGGTGCCTGCTGCATCGAATTTTGAAATTTTTGGCCTGAGAAACTATTAATTGATTTTTTTGGCCTGAGCAGGGAAATTTTGACCTCCAATTTTATTTTACACCTTCTTTACAAGTGTGAGAATTTAAAATTGGCTGGAAAACAGACACGACTGAGTTGGGTGAATTTAAGATAAGGTAAAATTGTTTGAAAGTAAAAAATGATGTTGTGTAAAATATTAAAAAAATTTTATCTTGGTTGTTATGTAAGTTCTAGGTACTGATTTCTGTTTATTTAACCTTTAATTTTTTACAGATTTGACAGGAGTTTACGAGTTGGCGAATCTGATGCAGACTCTTTACCAGACATAGACAGACAGCTTATGATGGGGGTGACCAGTGAAGATATAGAGACACTGAAGCAGACAGCAAACTCTGTTATACATGACTCACTCCTCAGAAAGATACAAAAGATTGACCAGGTAGTGAAAGGATAGTTAATGATTCCAAATGTAGGGAGAAATTATGAGAAAAAAGATGTACAAAAATGAAACAAAAAAATAGTACATACCTTTCCCACAGTCAAGATTTTTTAGGTCACCTGCGTAAATAAGATATTTCGGGATTTATAGACTTCTTTTATTTTTTAAAACTGAAGACAACCCATGCATATTTAAGTCCGCTTTAAAAAGAGTGTGTATAAACCCTTCAACATGTTCCAAGAGAAAGACTAAAATCTTTTATTTTTTGTTGCAGTTTTTGTTTTTTTTTTAACTCACAAGTTGAAATAAAACAAGATAAAATTAATGAATCTGTACCAAAAAATTGATCCCTCAAAATTAATAAGGTTCCAAAGTTGATTATGAATTAAAATATTTAAAAAAAAAAAATAATAGGAATGCCAGCTTTCAACGCACAGTCTATAGAGCTACCAGGTAAGCAAGATCAGCGAAACATTTTAGCGCAATTTGACGTCATTTTAATTGTGACGTTATTGTGTTCAATTGTGACAACAGTCAAGGTATTCTGACGTGCCCGAGTCGACGCTGCGTTAAAACGTATGCGCAGATCAAATAGATTGGGTCTCGTTAATTCATCAATTTGTTATGAAAAATGTCTTTGGATTGATATAAACCATTGTTTGTTTGTTTGTTAAGGAATACTTTAAGTCCAGGATCCACTACAGCTTTGTGGAGGCCCTCATAAGGAGAGTTAGAAGACTTGAGGCTCAACACAGGGAGATGATAAGTTTAAAAAAACAGACACAGCTGCCTCGTTATAGTGAAATGATTGCTGTCTATAAAATTTTAAATGACTTTTTAATGCCAAGTTCTTCTGACAGTGGACTTATTGAGCTTATATCGCATGGAAGTTGATATCTGTTGAAATCATTTTTGTTCATGTAATTCAAAATGTATGTGAATTAAAATGAAAACATCTACAATAAAAAAGTTTTCTGAATCAGATTTCTTGTGTTTATTTTGGGATTACAACACAGTCAAACCCTGTGTTATTTTGTGTCCAATGTGTCCAAGAAAAAAATTCTAATAAAATTTTAATTAATTTATTTTGGTTATTTAATTCCTTAAATAAGTTACATATATAACTAGATTAAAAGGATTAAGATTTATTTTAGATCAAAGGGCATATCATTCTAACTGCATCAAAAGTCACGGAACTCAACAGTGTGCAGTGCATGATAGAGGGTTAAAATAATAAAAATGTACATAATAATATTTTTTCTGTCTTCATGCTCAAAAAAATACTGTGGTTTCATCAATATTCGTTGAGCACTAATTTTTGAAGAATTTTTGATGAGCAAATCCACGAAATTCAATGTTCATTCAATTGAGAAATACAATACCGGTATCTATTTGTATAGGCAATGCTTTAGTCCACAATATTGTGTATCCTTGAAAACGTCTGTTTTTAAAAATCCATGATGGCAACGAAAATTGATGAAACCACAGTAAATAGTATTTTTCATGAGATATTGAAAGTTTCTTCTAATGTTGGGTCTCTATTGAGCAGTCATTTCAACTTGGTAGAATTATAATAAAATTGTTTATAAATTATATGATTTATATTTTATACCTCAATTATTGATAATATCAATATTTTAATTTTTTTTTTTACACACACACATGAACATGAGAAAGTGAACCTGAATCAAACTATAATTGTGATTTCTTGTGATTTTAGTGACATTGGAAAAGTTTCTCTCATAAATAAGTAATTATTTAAAACACATTGCTTTACATGTATTTGATTTTCTTCACTTTATGACTAAAATACTCAGCCACAAAGAGGTTGTCTCTGGTGTCTACACATTAACCCCATGGATGCCATAGACCACAATCATCAATGTAACGGAGGAACTGTCCGTCCTGATCTAGGATGTGGATACATTTGTTGTTATGGTCTACTGTCAGGATCTGACTCTGACTGTCTTTTGTGATGCCGAGTGGACCAAATGGTTCTTTGGTAGTAGAGGGTTGACCAGTGTATCTAAATCGGAGTTTTCCTGCCTGATTAACCACCACTACTGCACGGACTCTACAGTCAGCCACACAGATATCCATGTTCCTGTTCTCACTGATGTATTTAAGGCGATCAGATGAATACAGAGGTTTACCTTCACTGTCAAACTGAATGGTTTGTTTCTCTGTGGATCCAGAGTAACGGACAACTTTTGATTGGTTTCCATCATCACTGTTCATGGTAACCAGGAGGTCACCAGAGGAGGTAATACAGACATGGTAAGGTCTCCACCCCTGTAGTCTGATCACTTCCTGTATCTGGTCATTCTTCTCTATGTTTACAGTTCTTGTATCAGGGTCAGTATAAACTAGATCACCACTCCTTGTCACTGCTATGTCAATTGGTGTGATCCCAGACTTAGTTTGGATTGACTTCAGTAGTTTACCCTGGAGGTTGTAGAGTTTCATGATTTTGTCATTACCACGTGTCCAGATTTCTTCATCACTGAGACAGGTAACACTATATAGTAGTCTATACCCAGTGTCTATGGTGGTGATAAGCTCTGGTTCATCAAGCAGTGGTTTGACTTGAGGACAGGATATAGCGTCTGGTGTCTTCATTGTGTAGCCATGTTCTTCTGTTGTAATGGTTATTGCTGACAGAGAACCAAACATTTGATGGAGTTTTTCTCTGTTGATCTGATGATGAGAGAAACTTGGCAATGAAACATTGACTTTAGGAGGTAAACTTCTGAATTCAGCATTCCTTGAATTGTACCCAGAGGTTAGGGAGACATCATAGGAGTCCAGTTTATTCTTCAGATCAAATATACACTGTGTAACATCAGAAGTAATCTGTTTGATTTCTTTTTCCTGTTTATTCAGAGCAGCCAGATGTTTAGTTTTCATCTCATCAATTTCAGATTTCTGTTTGTTCACAATGATGTTAATGTCTCTGTGCCAGTCTTCTCCTTGTTTGGTGACAGCTAATGTCAGTTTCTCATAATGTTTTTCCAAATTTACTTTTTCAGAGTATAGATCTGATGAAATTTCTTCATAAGTAGGTAATATTCTTTTTTCTAGTTCTTTCAGATCTGTCTTAAAAATTTCTGTAATAAAGCTTGGTTTCTGCAATATATCTTTTAATTCATGACCATGATGTTTACCTGAGGAGATGCAGGTAGAACAGACAGGAATGTCACATTTCTCACAGTAAAGTTCACAGTGTTTTTGGGTGTGGTTTGGACATTTTGGGTAGTTAGCATTTGGAGTAGATTTTCTGTGTTTGTATGGTACAACATTGTGTCTTTTGGATGAATCAGAGAGATGCTCTCCTACACAAGCCTTACACAGATTAATCTGACAAAGTTCACAGTGACTCTGTAATGCAGCTTTTTGACACAGGTCACAGAGGAGGAGTACTTGAGCTCTGTCCAGGGGGTCCATCACTGGGATTTTGGTTAAAAAATCAGATGACCCTGAAAAGTAAAGAGAGGCATGGGTCACTGACTTTAGGAATATGACGTAATTTTTAAATAAATACAATATATTAAGAGTTTTACTTTGTTAGTGAAATTGTAAGAAAGAGTCAATTTAGAAATAACAGGCAGGAACGTTTTGTTTTGTTTTGTTTGTTTTTTTTTTTTTTGCTTGTCAACTTTTTTTAGGTAAGTAAAAAAAAATTTTCTCAGGTTGCCCCCCCCACTTTCAAAAACGATGCTACGTGCCTGACAGGAAAGATCTCTTGTAGTTTAAAAATGTCATATAAACGTTTCTAATATTTGAACAAGAAATTTAAATTAGGAAAAAAAATATTAACATTTTTATAATCATTCAAAGCAATTTACATAGTAAGATCTAAAGTGATCCTTATGCATTTCATCTCATGTATTATACATGTACATGTACTAGAATTGAGATCATTACTGACATCTAGAAGTATCTTGCAACATGTTAAATTTTCTAAATATGATCTAGTCTCACCTCTAAATCCAACATGGCATCCCGATACGCCTGTACATAATTTACTTCCTTGTCTTCATTCTAGATTTTTACCTGTTTACCAGGTCATGTGATTTAAATGCCTCAGCTATTTATATCAATCTGTAGATATTTTAAAATAGATTAAAATTAAGGGCTGGGATTAAATATAATTATATCTATCTATTTTTCTTCTCCTGCTTTGTGTCCTTGAAATGTTTTTTCTTTAAATTTTATAGAAGAAATACATATCAGTTTTTTTTATTATATGAACTAGATAAGTGTACCTAGTATTTTCCGATCAGTTTTTTTCTTAGTTTTACCGACAAATGACTTCATGCATATTAAAGATATGCAAAAATTGCGACAAAATAAACCCTCAAAACATTTTTTTTCCATGAATTTTCAACATCTTATCTATATCTTTATGCTATATGAATTGCCTAACATGAATTTAAAGTATTTATTTACGAAGTACGAATCTGTTTTCAAAGTCGGAGGTCATCACAATTTCTTGAATCCCTGTGCCATTATAAGGATGTCCTCTGTTTTACTGACTTGAAAATGAGCATCAAAGAATGTATTGTGATTTTAAATGAAATCTCTTTCTTTGTATAAATGTTTAAATCCTAAATAAACAATTTCCAGTACATTGAACAGTCCTGTGCGAGTCCTTTCCTGACTTAGTTAGTTTTCTATAGTTCCGTCTACATTATTCATAGGCGTCGGAGGCAGGGGAGGGGGTTAGCACGGAATAGACAAAATACATGTATTACATGTACTTGTATAGGCATTGAAGATTGGGGCGTAGGTTTGGATCCCTCCGTAATCTTTCAACAGGCACGCTTTAGTGTAGCTTAAGATAGAAATAGTTTTTTGGAAAATTTGTTCCCCCCCCCTCCTTCGTGAAATAGGATTTGCAGGTATAGACAATGTTAATTTTGAATTTTTTTTCTCCCCTCTTTCCAATTTGCTCCGATTCCGATGTTACTAGAAGTACATGTGTATGGATGATTGAACTTAAGCAATTAATATTATGTAGTGTTTGTATCAATATTTAGTTCAATATTCACGATAAAATGTAATGATATAATGATTAGGAATCATTCATAACTATACGAGTGTTAGTGAAATTCCACCGAGGGGACATAAGTCATGGTCTAGGACGAGGCTTTGCGTGTAAGTTGTGAATTTCATAGTCCCCATCCAGTCCTGAGGGTTGAGATCTACGAATCAATCACATTTATTCCAATCTTCAAAATTCTTTTTTTTCTTCACTCCGAATCATCTAAAAACCATACATAAGCATGATTCTAATAAGCATTGAGACATGATCAAAATTATTCTGCTCTGTTCACTAAGACAGTTTAATTGAAATTAAATATAAGTTACTGCTTATTTAATTGAATCTGTGTTTGCATGGAATATTTGATGCGAATAAGTTTAATTCAAATCCATTTACTTCGCATTTACTCCTACTGGTTGTTACATGTATAGGTAGCCGCTAAAAACAATGTCATTATACAAGGAGCCCTTGTAGCAGATAACGACAATCTCAACACAAAGAGTCCAGCAGATAACGACAATCTCAACACAAAGAGTCCAACAGATAACAACAATCCCACACAAAGAGTCCATCAGATAACGACAATCTCAACACAAAGAGTCCAGCAGATAACGACAATCTCAACACAAAGAGTCCAACAGATAACGACATTCTCAACACAAACAATCCAGCTGATAACGACAATCTCAAACAATTAAAGAGTCCAGCAGATTACGACAATCTCAAACAAAGAGTCCAGCAGATAACGATAATCTCAACTCAAAGAGTCCAGTAGATAATGACAATCTCAACACAAAGAGTCCAGTAGATAACGACAATCTCAACACAAAGAGTCCAACAGATAACAACAATCTCAACACAAAGAGTCCATCAGATAACGTCAATCTTAAAACAAAGAGTCCAGCAGATAACGACAATCTCAACACAAAGAGTCCAGCAGATAACGAAAATCTCAACACAAAGATTCCAACAGATAACGACAATCACAACACAAAGAGTCCAGCAGATAACGACAATCTCAACTCAGAGTCCAGCTAATAACGACAATCTCAACACAAAGAGTCCAGCAGATAACGACAATCTCAACACAAAAAGTGCAATAGATAACGACAATCTCAACACAAAGAGTCCAACAGAAAACTATGGAACGCCATAGCTGCCTTATGTGGCTATTTTATATTATGCTGTGGTTATTTTATATTATGCTGTGGTTATATTTATATTATGCTGTGGTTATTTTATATGAAGATGGTGCTCTTTTATATTATGTGGTTATTTTATATGAAGATGGTGCTCTTTTATATTATGCTGTGGTTATTTTATATGAAGATGGTGCTCTTTTATATTATGCTGTGGTTATTTTATATGAAGGTGGTGGTCTATTATATTATGCTGTGGTTATTTTATATGAAGATGGTGCTCTTTTATATTATGCTTTGGTTATTTTATATGAAGATGGTGCTCTATTATGCTGTGGTTATTTTATACGAAGATGGTGCTCTATTATATTATGCTGTGGTTTTTCAACATGGAGGTGGTGCTTTATTATATTGTGCTCTGGTTATTTCATGTGATGGTGGTTTTCAGTTGATTCGATACGCAAGAGCTTGCTGTTCGTATGAACAATTTCTAAACCGAGATAAATTATTGACAAACAAGTTGATGAAACAAGAATATCATCCCTCACGTTTAAAGTAATAATTTCGTAAATTCTATGGTCAATACAATGACCTTGTCAGCAAATACAATTTATTATTGAGTCAAAAGCTGACTGACGTTTTTCATACAAAATTATAGCACATTATTTACACATTGAATTGACGACGGATTTTCTCGTTATTTCCTGATCATGACAAGAAGTACACGGCGGGTGTGACCAGTCGGCAGGGGATATCTCTCCTCCATGGCACCTGATCCCAGCTCTGATGTCCCACATGTATTTTGTATCGTTTTATGGGCTTTGAGATTGAATACTGTTCGTTATCTCTATATCCTTTTCCATGATTTAACTCATGATTAAAAATACTAAAAAGAAGAACTTGAGGGGGAACAAAACGCGCGGAATGCCTATAAGTTCAAATATTAAGAAATCATTTTCAGTTAAGTTCTCATTATTGAAATTTATGACATTATGATAAACAAAACCTCTCTTGGAGGAAATAAATCTCGAATTTTTTTTTAAATATAAGATGGTATAAGTGGGATTCGAACTTTAGCAATAAAAAATCCGAAGTGTCAGGTTACTTTCAGACAAACGTGCTAACCACTACGCTACATGGCTCATGATGAATGATGGAGCATTTAAAGCATGTTTATAATATGACCCTAGGTTTAATAGACTACAAGATTAGTATTTCTCCGATCGATTTTCATAAAAATGTACATTTAAGATAAGTGGGTTTTCGCACTATGTTTTTGTAAACCAAAGAAAATATTTTTTTAATTATTGCAAACGTTTAGAATTATCTTTCAGAAAAAAAGGAGCGAAGACCCGCTCCTACGGAAAAAATGGTGAAGTATGAGAAAATGACCTTTTTTTTTCTTTTTTCATGAATGTATGCTATTTCATATATAGGCAAATATTTTCAGTCTTTCTGAGATTTTTTGTAAATGTAGAGATATTACGTATTAACATATCACATTTAGTAAACTTTATTGTTTGGTGAAATATCAAAATTTTGATATAATTGAGATGCAGTTTTTCAATTCACATCTGTCGCACTATAGGCGATAGGCGCTTCTTCCGCATTACCCCCCCCCCCCCTTCCTTGTAACTTAAGTTGTATGAATTAAAGTAACCCTTTTTAATATAAGACCAAAATGAAAAAAAAAAGTTTCATAGCATGAGAATTAAAATCTAGTTCATTTTGAACATAGAGAATCTCACAAATAAAGATGACCCCGCCCCCCCCCCCCCCCCCGAAAAAAAAAATGAACGAAAGCAATGAAGTTTAATTTTTTTTGTACTAGTAGAACTTTAAGTTCATAGAGACTTTGTTTCCTTATATTTGGTAATACATGCTATTTTGGTCAAATTATGATACATGTATAATGTTTTGAAATCTTAAAACTATTTCAAAATGTGTTATTCACTAATATTTACTGGGAAGGAGGAGTGGTAAGGGGGCTATCATTTTATAATTATATCATGTTTGAATTCTAGTTTTTGATCTTAGAGTTTAACATATATCAGAAAACCCTAATATTGGCCTAAATAGAGCTGTCATTAGCTGAATCAGTGTTTCAGAAATACATCTTGTTTTCATTTTGAATTAGAAACTTTTCATATAGGACAAGTCATCGGGAAGCACATAATTATTTTTTTTTTTGGCAAATCAGTTAAACAATATGGACCTGACTGCCTTTTCTGTCTGGCCACACAACAGCCCTTGGAGAAAGCTGACACATTAAGGCTGATTCAGTACCTAAGGGCAGACAACTCTTTGAGTGCTGATGGCACCCTGGACCCTGTGAGTCTGTGTCTGTTAATGGCCATGCATCCTGAACTGTTTTGATGTCAGTCTATTGGAACACGAAGATGGAAGAGGTTAGTCGATCCCTGATAATTTATTCATCATTTCACAAACCATAATTTTATTGTTCATAAATCAATGCTGTGTATCATTCGAATTCATTGAAAAATATCAAGTTTGAACTTTTTTTGGCAATATATATGTCAATCTTTCTTAAGGAATTGCTTTGAAATAATAAGAATTATCAATTTAAAAATGAAATAAAAAGGTTAAAGTTGATGACTTTTGACATTTACAGATCAAATTCCTGCAGTGTCTACCAATGATGATGGATTCGACCTACATACCTGACAATAACACCAGGATCTCATGTCAACGCGAGCCTGCATGGACCAACTCAGGTCTTAGTTCAAAAATCAACTGAAGGTAAAGTTTGAAAATGAGACAAAGAGCAGCACTATAGTATTATTAGAAAACTCAGGTCTTGAATTGGAAACCTACTATTGGTTTATTATACATGCATCAGGTTAAAAACATGTCAATCAGAAGATTAATACATCCTTTATGGTACCTGCCGTAGATTTGATATTTCTACCTTGGTACATGTATGTCCTAATACATCGTGAATGAATTTGATATGGCAAGATAGTCATAAGTGCTTTAAGATATATTGAAAATAAACTGTAAACTCATTTTGGGCTTTATTGATATCTAAGGATGACTGGCTCTTGATTTACTTGAACTTGATTTGTAGGAGTGAATGGAATTTGTGAAGAGGATGAGGTGGTTATTAACGAGGCCCTGGAAGCTAACGTGTTCCACTTCCTGCGACTGGCTGTTGTAGCCGTACATGATTTCCATAAAGAGGTAGGTCATTTGGTGCATATTTCAAGTTGACATCAAAATTTACACACTTGTAACTCAGCAGCAAGTCAAATAAGAAGTTGTTTGACAAATCATTATTTTGACTCTTCAGACTGGATTCTTAATATCCTAACAGGGTTGGAACTATTAAATAGCATATTGTTTTTGTTTTGTAGGAATATTATCTAGAGAAAGTCCAAAGGCTGGTTACAGACGTTATTTTTCACATGCCACTGAAGGTATGTACGTAATTATAATTAAGTGACACCTAAACTAATTGTTAATGAATTTGATCACAAAACAGTGCAAATTTTGCATGGCTAACTTTGTCTGAAAAATAAGTTCTTTTCAATGGTTGTAAATTTTGAAATAAATGTTGATTAAAGTAAAATATATCTGAAAAATATTCCTCATGTGAAAAAGAGAAAGGAAAATTTAAGTCAGTTCGAACCCTTTATGAAGTGGTAAGATTTATATTTTGAACAAATTTTAATATAATCTTTTAAAGGAAATTTATTCTGTATGATTGACAGGTGAAAGAGCTGCTTACAAGAGATTCAGCGAGAATTGCGGCGTCCCAGAGTTCCCTAGAACCTCCCACGTAACCCAGTCACGGCTTCCAGTACTTACTGAGACAGGTATGTAGTGATCCCTAGTGTTTACTGCTTATATCAACATAATTAAGGTTTACTGACCCTCTGACAAGAGAGATAACTCGCACGTCACCCAGTCACGGCTTCCAGTATTTACTGAGACAGGTACAAATGTATGTAATGGTCCCTAGTGTTTACTGCTTATATCAACATGATTAAGGTTTACTGACCCTCTGACCATGATCACCGGTCGATTTTCGACCAGACATTGGCCCATAGTCGACCGACGTACGAACGATGTTCACCAATGTATGAACGAGGTAATATACATCGGCCGATTACATTGGACCATCGTTTTATGATTAGCAATGCATCGCTGGGCCTTTGTATGTCCGGCCGGCAGCCACACCATTTCTATCCAAAAACGCATTGGTTGCCCATCGTATACCTCATCGCTTGATAATGTGACTGATACTTTAAGGACTACTAGGCAGATGTGGACCGATGTTGGGGCATCGCTGACGCCACGGATTACCACCGATTACCACCGGTCTACGGCTACCGGCCGGGAAATGTGACCTAGGCATAACCTGATTATTTTTGATGACCCGGCAGGTCATGCTTATCACCCGATTTTTGCCAAACGGTAGACAGACTACTCGGCCCAACGACACCTCGGCCCGTGCTGGTTGACACCTCGGCCCTGACAGGTCGGCTCAAAATCATTGACACCTCGGCCCATACCGAAGACTGCTCGGCCCATTAGGAATGAATTAAATTTAATTTGTTTTAATTATTGTTATTATTATTTTTTGTATTTTCACTGTCATGGTAATGTAAATGTATTCTATGTATTTCTAATCACTTTACGTTTAATTACTATGAATATACGATAATTTCAGACTTTTCTAACAAACCACAGCACAACATCAAATTACAATCCGTTGATTGGGAGGTAACAGGTCTATTTATTTATTGACTTTGTTGTTTATTACAAGGCAACATAATACATTATTAATATATTTACTAGCTATTTTAAAGAAAAAATTGCGCATATTTTAATGTTTAATTTTAATAAAAAATCATATTTTTTTCAAATCAATTCAATAATATCAACAATGGTTTCTTAATTAAAGGAACTTTTATTAACATTAACTCCCAATTGTGGCTTCTCATAATTAACTCCTCATAGTCACCACCCCCTATGACACGCGCTCGAGACTAAAGAATGCACTGCCTCTTGTTTGTTTAATGATTAGCACTTATAATCAAGTTACTAATGGATCGTCTTTCTTTAATTTTAATTACCGTCAATTTGCCGTCTAGGAATATTGCAAATGTATCAAATTAATTTTCTATTGCATTTCATAGATATATAACAACATAAATAATAATTGAAATATATTTAATCAAAATAATATATTTCTGTTTGGACCGAGGTGTCTTTTATGTGAGCCGAGGTGTCTTCAAATTTGGGCCGAGCCGTCGGAGCCGAGGAGTCGTTGGGCCGAGGTGTCGTTGGGCCGAGCAGTCTGACATTCTTGCCAAACAACCCGAAAATCTCCCGATTTTCCGGATTTGGTTCATAAATTAGGTTGCACTTTTAACTTCCAGTTACAACCCAAGCTTTAGATCTACGTAAACAATGCCGATGGATTAATTATCAGTGCAGGTGTAAACAATTAACTCATTTAACTGAGTGTTGTTTTGACAAATCAATGTTTGAAGTCAATTAAAATGGCTTCCGATAGAACTAAATCGTTATCAGGGCCAACAGGAACAAATTAAACCAAAACATATGTCTCTGATTGAACCAAGAAAAAGAGAAACGATGTTTATGTACATATCAAGGAATTTTGGAAAAAAAAACTTTCATTCTAGATAAAATAAAGTGATCGAAGACAGTGTAGGCCTAACTTCACATTTGGTTCGTAAATTAGGTTGCACTTTTAACTTCCAGTTACAACCCAAGCTTAGATCTAAGTAAACAATGCGGCGAATGCCGATGGATAAATTATCAGTGCAAGTCTAAAAAATTAACTGGGTGTTGTTTTGACAAATCCATGTTTGAAGTCAATTAAAATGGCTTCCGATAGAACTAGATCGTTATCAGGGCCAACAGGAACAAATATTGAACCAGACAGGAACAAATATTGAACCAGACACATGTCTCTGATTGAACCAAGAAAAAGAGAAACGATGTTTATGTACATATCAAGGAATTTTGGAAAAAAAACTTTCATTCTAGATAAAATAAAGTGATCGAAGACAGTGTAGGCCTAACTTCACATTTATAACATATTGCAGTAGTTAATTAATTAAGAGAGAGGAAAAATAGCTTCAAAACTGAAATTGGTATACTTTCAAATTTAGCAGAAACTGAAAAGGCTTAAAAGAAAATGCACACTTACTTTAATATTGAAATATGAAACCTTCAATTTTCATTTTTAACATGTAAATTTAAATCAAATTATGATTGAATTTTTTGTAGTAGTAAATTAAATCCTTTTTCAATAAAAGAATTCTCAATACACAAATACTTTGTATATGTATAAAATTTAATCATGGTAAATATGTCGTGAATGTCGTTACACGTTATGACCAGATTTTTTACTGTCCAAATCTGGTCATGACCAGATTTTTACATGCTGGAGGTTGGCAAGTATGTTTCCCGCTTTATTGGATATCTTTATTGAGAATTCTTTTTAAATTGGGTTAGGAGGTAGAGACATTTGTGTTTTGTTTTGTTAAGAATTGAAGTTACATAATTATTTCAGGTGTTGAAAATACTGGATGACAGTGTCCGACAACTTGAAACATACAAGGCTATACCAGGTAAATAGTGATTAAAGAAATTCAGGTGTTTTTATTTGTGTTGTAAAGTGTTTAATTTGTTTGGTTTATTGAACTGGCTAATGTTCAATAAGTTAATTTGATTGGTTGGATGGACTACATAATGTTATGTGAGGTAATTTGATTGGTTGATATTACTAGCCAATGCTAGGAGAGTTAATTTGATTGGTTGATTGAATTGACTGATGCTAAGAGAGTTAATTTGATTGGTTGATCTGTATTGACTGATGCTAAGAGAGTTAATTTGATTGGTTGATCTGTATTGACTGATGCTAAGAGAGTTAATTTGATTGGTTGATCTGTACAGGACAGGAGTCCCTAGAATCTGCCAGTCTGCTGTGTTTACAGCTGATAGAGACCAGTCTGGAGAAGTCGGGGACGTTCCTGGACGCGTGTCGTGAGACGGGAGCCTCTGCCATGGTGTCCGCCATGGATCGTCTTCTCCTGAGTGTTAATCTACACAACGGGAAAGCCGACCACCTCGTTAATGTCACAAAGTAGGTCACTAAAAGTCATAAAAATCAAGCAAACATTTATTTTATTTGAATAATATGAAAGTTTTATTGCTTTTAGTCATTCAAGTCTTATAAAAAATGGAAAGTTGTAAGAAACATTAATTTTATCATCCTATATTGTGTGATCATGGTCACAATTGGTGTTTTATAATCTTGTAGATTTATACAGTTCAGCATTCCTCTTCCTGAGCATGCCCAGTCAGCGAAGATGATCCTGTATCAAGTGTATCACTCAGCTCCTTTACAAGTGGCCCTTGTCAATCTGTTCACATCAAATCAGGTAACAGTATAATTTGATTGAGACACCAAGATGAACATTTTTTAAAGCTATGAATTCTCCTTGAACTGAGAATTATTTCCAGTCTGGTTGACACTGAAAAAGATGCTACATTATAATGCACCATGTCTAGTTCCAGAATAAGATAAATGGTAGACTGGATTGTTATTAGGGTTCTGTAGAAATCTTATGCCATATAATTCTTGGTTTACATTATTGTACATGATTGTGTGTATCACATAAAATTCATTATTCCAGACCTCTCATCTGGAGCTGCTCCATGGATTTGTGGAATGTCTGGAAGTGGAGGAACCAGAACAAATGGTGGAGAAGACGATCCACTTACCTGAGGAGGAGGGTATGTTAAAATTGTGTGGAGAAGAGAGAGAGAGAGAGAGAGAGAGAGTGTGAGAGAGAGAGAGAGAGAGAGACGAGGGTATGTACTCATTAGTGTGGAGAGAGAGAGAAAGAGAGAGAGACAAGGGTATGTACTCAGTAGTGTAGTCTCAGAGAGAGAGAGAGAATCCACTTACCTGAGGAAGAGGGTATGTTAAAATTGTGTGGAAAGCAAGAGAGAGAGAGAATCCACTTACCAGAGGAAGAGGGTAACTCTGGTCCCATAGAGAAGTGACATGGGGTGAGAATGATCAGATATACCAGAGGAAGACAGTATCTAGGGACTCAGTACAGAAGTGGAGAAACTAGGGTCTCGCACAGAAGGTTGGGGTGTATTGTTCAGTGAAAGATGATAAAAATGGTTTCAACAGTGATGTGTAAAGGAAGGAGCATTCCCATGATAAATCTGAGGAAGATGGTAACTAGGAATCCCAACAGTGTGGATTGATCTCTCATAGTTTTGAATTCCCATTTTGTTTAAACAATACTGTTTACCGTATAAGTAAAAATTTTAGTGAAGATTTAATTTTGGCATTGTTAGCAAGGCTGCTGAGATCGCTATAATTATATATCGCTAAAAATTTATTGCGTATTATTTGTAATAGGTTCTTTAATTAACATTTTTAAATCGCTAAAATTACATCTCGCTAAAAATAAAATATCAGTTTTTAAGAGCAAATCGCTAAAGGATCACTTCATTATAAATAGGGATCTGACCTATAGGAACGGGCTTGGTTTTCTTCTCTACAAAAAGCTTGTCAATTTCCGTTCCAATTAATGACATTAGGCCGAATACATTTAACAATTTGTTTTTTCCTAAATCTTTATTTCAGTGAGTAGAGTTAGTCTCAAGAAACCCTTTCATTGATTTTTTGAGTTTGTTATCTCCAATTGATTTATATAATTGATATTTGTCTTTACTTCTCGTTGTGCATTATGGTAATTTTCTACTGTCTCTGAAATTCTATTTTTTATGTCTAAGCTATTTATCCATGGATATAATAAAACATGTCATTAATGTGTGCAAATTATATTGGCCTAAATGAAATCCAAGGGAGTACAGTTACTGATATATGTAGCCAAAATCAATGTGATTAAATTCTAAGGAATATATTCAACTGAAATGCAACGCAGCTCAATGCTGTCAAGAATATCTGTATCAAATTACACAGAGTGAGTTAGTGTGTCCTCGGAGAAAGTGTGCTTATACTGAAGTATGTTCCGCCTGACTGACAACTGTACATTTGTTTGTTACGATCTGACATCTCTTTAATTTTTCTTGTATCAAGAATGGGCATACATAAACGATAGATAATTGAAGGAAAATACACAAGTCTATTTAAAAAAATTAAGTTGTCTTTAAAAGGCGAAATTTAAAACTTTAAAAGTGTGGTGCCAGGTGGATTCGAACCCACGACTTTAAATAGAAGCAATTCACGTAGTAAAACCAACTCGTATATCATCTGAGCTGGTCCGTGTATAAAAATGTCAAATCAAAATTTGAAGCAGATTTTCAAAATCAGGTTTCCTTAATTTTTTGTAGGATTTTTGGGAATTTTGTGCCCCTAAAAGAATCCTATCTTAAATCATTCCTTACATCATAACCTATCAAAATATCACAATTTTATTTAGGGGCAGGCCTGCCCTGAAGGACTTCTAGGCCAAAATACATGCAAAAATCAATGCTTTAACAGACAAAATGGTGTTTCAGTCAACTTTGAAGGTTTATTGTAAAGTTGTAAATAATAAATTTTAGGTATAAAATACAAATTTGGAAAATTTAGACATATGTACGTTAGAAAACACAAATAAAGCTTAATTATTTAATGTCACTTTTTCCAGGAAATTGTTCTCTCCTATAGGTCAATTCTTTTGTTAAAGTGAATACATCCTTTGTGTCTCGCTAAAATTTCCTCATACAATGAATCCCCCCTCCCCTCCCTTTTTTTAACTTGGGCAAATTTGAAATAACATTTTCTCATAAACAGACCTGTATCTTGGTGAAAATCAAATCAAATTGTTTTCAGGAGTGATTGTGTGTAAAAGATGTAAACAGAAATATTCCTGCATATTATTGATGCTCAGAAAGAATTGTACTTTTCTCTCTCAGATATTAATGTAAACATTAACACAAATATAATGTTTTAAATTTCTGAGAAGTTCAAAGAATGCCATTATAATGTCACTTTATTACCGATTAGCTGTATTGTTACAGATGATTCCTGTGAGATTGGCCACGTCCGTAACTCCACCATTATAATGTCACTCTAATAATGATTAGTTTTGTTGTTACAGATGATCCGTGAGATCAGCCACGTCCGTAACTCCACCATTATAATGTCACTTTAATACCGATTTGCTGTATTGTTACAGATGATTCCCATGAGATTGGCCACGTCTGTAACTCCACCGTTATAATGTCACTTTAACACTGATTAGCATTATTGTTTCAGATGATTCCTGTGAGATTAGCCACGTCCGTAACTCCACCATTATAATGTCACTTTAATACCGATTTGCTGTATTGTTACAGATGATTCCCATGAGATTGGCCACGTCTGTAACTCCACCATTATAATGTCACTTTAACACTGATTATCTTTATTGTTACAGATGATTCCCGTGAGATCGGCCACGTCCGTAATTCCACCAGACAGTACCTACTTCAGGTCCTACTGAGATCTCTAGACCAACCTTCACCAAACTTGGCACACCTGCTGCTGGGCTTTGACATTAGGAAGTCTCAAAGCAGAACTCTGCCCCAGGATCCAGGTGAGCTAAAAAAAGAAGCTTTATATAAATTTTACTTCAAGATGCAAAAGATTCTTAGATCTACCAATGAAAATTTTGCACATTCACTATTAAATTCATATTTCTAAAACCAGGTATCCTTGGGTCCCCTAAGACCTGTCTACATGCAGTCCTGTCCCTGTTAGAGAGGGGTGGGGACACACTCTGCCTGAGGGACACTCCACGACCGTCTGAGCTGGCCTACAAACTCATCTACCTCCTGGCTGCCAACAGGGAGACGTCGACACCCACTTTACGATATTTACGTACAACCAGGGACTTCCTGTTCAGGCAGCTCCAGCATTTACCTTTCACTCAGCAGTTTTATAGTGAGTTCAAATTAAAATAAGAATTTTTGTATTTTGTGACAAAAATGATTTTAATAGAGAAACTAGTCAAAATTTGTTGATTATTTAATATGTAATTGTCTTTTTAGAACGCCCTGTAATCATTTCTCAGTCATGGTTGCTGAAGCTGATTGCCATTGAACTGCGACTGACTGCGCTGAACCGTCAAAGGTCACACACACTGAGGTTAATGAAAGCCCTGCTGGACGACTGGTCAGAAGGTCAAACAGGTAAGGTCAAGTTCAAAGGTCACACAAGCTGAGGTTAATGAATGTCTTGATCCATGTGTATTCAGGGGGTTAAAATGGTAAAGTCAGGTGTTATGGGTCAGAATTACCCGAAATGCCAGCAAAGATCAATAACAAGATTTAAACTTAACAATAATTTATTTACAGTAATATATAATAAGTATATGAAACATAAAGTACAAACTTAGCAAGAATCTAAAAATACATACATCAGAGTGTCCGTTGCTGCACACAATGTCCCAGTGAAAATATATCCCAGTTATATCTCAATAGTGCTTATACGACAAAAGTATATCTATGCATCGAATTGACAGGGTATTTATACAGTAATATAAATCTAGAATATTCTAGAAATTGTTAAAACATGATATTACTGGAACAATCTGGACATACTCAAAATTCAAGAATGTTTTAGATAGAATGACCGAACATATTGACCACTCTGGAATGTTCAAGAAACTTAATGTTACTAATAATATACATGATGAAACAATACACATATCACAACACCTCCCTTAAAAAGTTTGAATGTCAATGAAAACTTGTATCATTAAAACATAGGTACATTAATACAAAATCTAGTATGTTTACGATACTCTTGACAAGGCATCTGCAATAACATTGTCTTTGCCTTTGATATGCTTAATTGTTATGTTGTATTCTTGTAACAACAAACTCCATCTAGTCAGTCTTTGATTCTTGTTTGACAATTTATGCAAAAATGTCAGGGGGTTGTGATCAGTATATACAAGAGTTTGGATGCAAAGTAACATTCAAATAAACATCAAAATGCTGTAAAGCTAACAACAAAGCAAGGCATTCTTTTTCAATAGTAGAATAATTTCGTTGACATTTTGTAAGTTTCTTTGAAAAATAAGAAACAACTCCATCTACCTTATCACTATGTTCTTGAAACAAAGCTGCCCCGATTCCAACATCACTAGCGTCAACAGTAAGCTTAAATTGCTTAGAAAAATCTGGAGTTGACAGAACTGGGTTGCTCATAAGGACAGATTTGATTTTATGAAAGGATTTTTCACAGTCCTTTGTCCATTCAAAGTTAACCCTCTTTTGTAAAAGATTTGTAAGTGGACTAACAACTGAGGAAAAATTTGGACAAAATTTTCTGTAAAACCCAGCCATGCCCAAAAACCTCATTAATTCTTTCTTGTTTGTAGGAATCGGGAACTTTGCAATAGCTTCCACTTTAGCCATTATGGGTGTAACATAACCTTGACCTACTTTATGACCTAAATACTCTACATAAGCATGACAAAATTCGCTCTTCTCAAGATTCACAGTTAAGTTTGCTTTAGCTAAAATGTCAAATAAAGCACGCATGATTCGAAGATGTTCGTCCCATGTGTCACTGTATATGATGACATCATCAATGTAGGCCTCGCATCCCTCAAGGTCTTGAAGAAGGGAGTGAATCATCCTTTGGAATGTAGCCGGTGCGTTTTTCATGCCAAAAGGCATTACTTTATACTGGTAAAGTCCATCTGGTGTAGCAAAAGCAGATATTTCTTTTGCTCTTTCTGTTAACGGTACTTGCCAGTAGCCTTTCAACAGGTCAAATTTACTGACAAATTTCGCGTTTCCAATGTTGTCAATACAGTCATCGATTCTAGGTATTGGATATGAATCAGTTTTGGTAACAGAATTCACTTTTCTAAAGTCTGTACATAATCGGTAGGTACCGTCCTGTTTTGGTACAAGAATACATGGTGAGCTCCAATTACTTTTACTAGGTTCAACAATGTCATTGTCCAACATGTACTGCACTTCCCTTCTTAGGTACTGCAATTTTATTGGATTGAGACGGTACGGATGTTGTTTGATAGGCAGAGCGTCGCCAACTATGACATCATGACAAGCTGCATTAGTTTTCTTTGGAACATCCGAAAAGATTTGATGATACTCATTCATCAAGTTTTTAACTTGTTCTTTTTGGTGAATGTTCAAATGTCCAAGTTTGGCATCAAAATCAGCCAAAATTTCTGAGTTTTGCAAGCGGACACTCTGATTACAATCTTTCTCATTCATTTCTACACTCGTATCACTTTCAATACAATTTTGAACAGTCTTAGCATTGGCTAAAGTGGAAACTGGTTTTACAGAATTTCGGTCACACCTTTCAAAATACTCTTTCAACATGTTAATGTGACAAACCCGTTTCTCTTTACGTCGACCTGGTGTCTTAACTACATAGTTTACATCACTGATCTTGCTTTCAATTTCATAAGGGCCATAAAATCTGGCCTGTAAAGGATGACAAGGAATAGGTAAAAATACAAGAACCTTATCACCTGGCTTAAACACCCTATTTCTGGCATCTTTGTCATACCACATTTTCATTTTCATCTGAGAATTCTTCAATTTTTCTTGTGCTAATTTACAAGCATTGTAAAGTTTTTCTTTGAAATCAGACACATAATCTAAAAGATTAAGATCACTAGTCTCAGTCAGCCACTTTTCCTTCAACAATTTCAAAGGACCTCTAACTGTATGACCGAACACCAATTCAAAAGGACTAAACCCAAGAGACTCCTGGACTGCCTCTCGTGCAGCAAATAGTACAAGATGAACCCCTTCATCCCAGTCTTTTTCATACTGGTAACAATAGGTCTTCAGCATTGTTTTTAGGGTTTGATGAAAACGTTCTAGCGCTCCCTGGGACTCAGGATGATAAGCAGTTGATCGATACTGCCTAATACCCAACTCATGCATGACTTGCTGGAACAACCCCGACATAAAATTTGAGCCTTGATCCGACTGAATTGCCTTGGGTGCTCCTACAAAACTGAAAAACTTGGTTAGGGCCTTAACTATGCTCTTTGCCTTTATATTCCTAAGAGGTATGGCTTCAGGAATCCGAGTGGATGTACACATAATGGTAAGTAAATACTGGTTTCCTGACCTAGTCCTAGGCAAAGGTCCTACACAATCCACTCGACTAAACAGTTCTTCAAAAGCTGGAATGGGTTGCAGAGGAGCAGATGGTATCTTCTGATTTGGTTTACCTACCATCTGACAGACATGGCATGACTTGCAAAACTTCGAAACATCCTTTCTTAGCTTAGGCCAATAAAAATGACTCAAAATCCTATTATAAGTCTTATTGATACCTAAATGACCAGCCATAGGTGTATCTTGAGCTAAACTCATGACATCTCTACTATAAGCAGCTGGGACTACTATCTGGTGAACAACACGCCACACTTCATCTAGAGAAGCATCAGGTGCTCGCCATTTTCGCATAAGGATGCCATCTTTCATATAGAAGCATTCTCCAACCTTAGTAGCCTCTTCTGGTGGAAGTGCCCTCTTACTAAGTTGAATGATATCTGGGTCTTTATGTTGTTCAGAGAGTAAACGTTCTCGGCTGAGGATGTCCTTGCCTTGGTTAACTAGTGGATGCAACTCATCAACCTCACCACCAAATTTTGGTAAAAGTTCTTTCTTCTCTTGCTTCTTCATATTGTGTGGTTCCATGCTTGTTTGAGTGCCATCAAGGTCAGATAAGAAAGTGTCATTCAAATCAATATCAACAGAGGAATTCGTCTCGTCAAAGGCTTGAGTATGGTCTGCCTCCATTTCTCGTCTTCTGGCCATCGCTCTAGTAACAGCACAGGCTGGATAAATGTCATCATCTTTATCATCGCACATGACATCTGGAGTGATTTTCTCACAAACTATAGGATCTGGTACAACTTTTCCACCAGCTAAATCGTTGCCTAGCAACAAAGAAATGCCTGGAACGGGAAGAGTAGGTCGAACACCTTCGATAACAGGTCCAGTAACTAAATCTGACTTCAAACTAATTCTATGCAGGGGAACATCAATGACGCCTAGCTCCACACCCTGTAATAAAACTGACCCACCAGTACGCAGCACAGTTAAGGTAAAAAAAAAAGAGGCGGAGCCTAATTTGTACGGAAAAACTTGACTATGACATCATACACAATATACGTCATACAACATTTCTTTAAAATGCCACAAAATGAGTTTATCTGCTAATTCAACCAGTAAGAAATCATATAACTACATAGAAACTTACTACAGCGTGTTGTTTTGTCGTTAGTTAAATCCCACAAAACAAGTTATAAACAAGTCACTGATCGCAATACACTTGTCAATATGACGTCATTTCTTACAACGTGACGTAGTTTGTGTGCAGTGAGAGACAGATCAAGTAATATTTTCTCAACAAAATATGTATTCTCTAATTAAATAAAATATCATTTACAGATATTCTATGGGCTAATAACTTGAATTTAATGTCTTATTCGCTATTTTATTAATATATTTTCTATACATTGCGTATTTAATTAACACTGCCGTATATTTGTATGCAAGTACATCGGAGGGTAATGTGTGGGGTCTAATAAATCGATATAGTGCAAGGGCATACGCTCTGTGGATCAAAGTAAGCTTTTACATTTCAACTATAGAACTATTAAGGTATCTGAAAAGTGCTGGGATCCCGATGAAATCTTAAAAACAATTTAATTATATCAATATGTCATGCCGCTGACCAGCAAAAAATATAGCATTCGGTCATACAAGTATAATTTTAACAATGAAATTGCAGAATTTA